GCTGACAACTCCCATATAGTGCGTACGGAGCTACGCCTATCTGTACATGATGGGAAGTGCACGCAGACTATGCCTTGCGCCCTACGCTAACGCGTTGTGCGCACAGTGTGCATGTCTTGCACTAATCGCGCAACATGCGAAGCTCACACAGGTTGGATCCTTCCCCCCCGGATTTTCTGCCTTTTTCTCTATTTTTTCCCTGAAATCTTTTAAATAATAAATAAAATGAAATTTTCCTATGATAAAATAAAATAATTAATTTTAAGAATTATTTAACTGAATAAATACAAAATTAAAATACAAAATACAATATTCGTATGAAAAAATTAAAATTACAAAATATTAAGGAGTTTTAAATGTTTTTATAGTCTGAATAAATAGTGGTTCACATTACAAATTAAGCACGAAGGTTTTTGGGGTGTTACAGGCACTTTGGTGAGCATTTTTCTATAGCTCCATTTATCATTTTAATTAAATAAAATGCTCTAAAGAGAGCCTACATGTAATAAAACATGTTTGAAGTTCAAACTAAATCAAAATCAAGCCATGCATGCACGCATGAAAAATCTTATGCAAGTTCTGGGTTTATCACTGACCCGAGAAGGAATTTTTCTCTGTAGTTTTTTTCTCAACTTTGGAGACATTTTTGGAGCTCAAATCATTTCATAGGGACTTCCAAATTGTAAGTATAATTAATTGGTAACACTAAGCCTTCATAGCATTAGTTTTTATCGATTGCGTTAACCAGGTAAGAATTTACAAGCTTGCAAAGAGGGGTTTGCGGGTAGGGTTAAAACCCATCTCAAAACCTATCCAGGCAATTCAAACAGTTGAAAAAGGTTTTAAATGGTTCTATTTGAATTTTTCTTGAATGATTTTAACTCCATTTGCTTGATTTTATTTGTATATGTAACAATCTGCCCATCGCTGTGCTCAATTAATTTGAAAAATCTTATTTATTCGAGCCTTTAAGCAGCATTAAACTCATTTAATTTACTTCGCATATTATTCATCGTAATTCATGAATTTTTCTTATTTTTAATTATTTTTATTTTATTTAATTTTATGTAATTTTAATTATTTCTATTTAATTATAATTTAATTGCATTAATTTGATTTATTTTATTTCAATACAAATAAAAAATGAAAATTTTAAAAAATGGCGAAATGGAAAAAATCTCGTGAAAAAATCCTGCATGGAAGGGGAGCTGCTCGCGTGGGACACCTACTCACAGTGCGTGCGCGCACACGAGCACAGCTGGTGCGGGTCGTGCGCACATTGTGCACATCCCAACCATGCAAATGATGTGAGGTCAGAACTGTCCTGTAGCGGGCAGGTTGGTCATCCGCGTGTCACCTCACGCGCGGATAGGCGCTACACAATGTGCGCACGTAGTCTGTTCAGCAGGCCTTCGCAGAGAGGCATCTGTGCACCTAGGGCTTGCGTTCAGTAGGCATCCGTGCATGGGGCCCTGCGTGCACGGTAAGAGGCCTGTGCGCCTGCAAGCTAGCCTACAGTGTGCCGAGTGGGCCACTGCTACCTTGGGTAGTGTGCTGCTGTCGCCACGGGTGGCACACAGTCACCGCTAGTGGAGGAGACTTTCCTCCCTCATTTTTTTTGCTGAGTATCTTTTTCCTCTCTCTCTTCACTGAATTTTGCCACTAGACGCGAATATGATAGTTCCTAATTTTTATAAATAAGTCTTCCCTTCCCATTCTTCCCCACACTTCCATTTTTTAAGAATTAGAGAGAAAGAAAGAGAGAGAGAGTGATCTAGAGAGAGAAGGAGAGAAAGAAAAGGAGAACGGTGAAGGAGAAAATATCAAGGTTTTGGTAAGGAATTTAGTATTTCTTTAGTTGTCTTATGGAGTACTTTTAGCTAAAAAAAATTATTAAATATGATAATCGTGATTTTGGCTATTTTACATGCTTTCGTGTTTGTAGGTCTAAAAAGTTGAATTGTTCTTCTTTTCAAACATGTTATGTGATTTATAGACACTTGATGATTTACATGTAATAGAAATAATATGAAGTCAGTATTGTTACATGGAAAAATAAAAAAAACAAGAAAAATGGAAAAAAAAAGGGAAAAGTGGAATGAAGCATGAAATGTTCGAAGTATGTATCTATATTGACATGCATAATGCATCGAGTGTCACGTTAGGCTTTTTATCTTTGAGGGGTATCTGTTCCCCTAACCCAATCCGGGGTATCTGTCTCCCCTTCCCCCATCTTGTTTGGAAAGACGGAAGAGGATCGCTCTTTGTGGGTGATGGCGTACCCTCTTACGAGAGTGGTGAGACGAATAGCTGGCTATTAGGGGTCACCTTTGGCTAAGTACTATCGTGACTGTAGATATCTAATATGACCACTATGGTTGGTACGACCATAGTCGTAGATCGTACCATGGTTTGGCCAGCCGAAATTATGCTTGAGCAACTTGTCATTATCTGTATCTATTCTTGTCATTCCACATGGGTAGTTGGAAATCAGTATCTACCTTCAGAGATGGAAGTCGTAACGACTTCATGAAGCATGACATGAAAATCTCAGCATTTTATGATTTATTTAATTTTCTCTATTATTTGGCATGATGTATGTTTGTTTGATTGTATTAACATACTATCTTGCTAATAAATAAATTGTTTTCATTATGTAAGATAGCCAAATGGTAAGTATTTGTGTTAGAATAATTCACCTTTAAAAGCTTAAGATATTATTTAAATATTATTTTCCTTACTGAGCATATGGAACTCACTTTTTTAATGCCCCCCTAGATGAGGAAGAAAATGAAGAACCGTAAGCTGACCTAGCCATTAAAGTCTATGAGGATCCTGTGGATCCACAAAACTTGAGTGCATGATTGTTCCCACACTCTGATGAGTCCAATAGCATAGTGAAAAAAGTAGGCTTCTTTTATATTTTGACCTTGTATTTTGTAGCCACTTCTGGCCTCAGTTATATGTATCTAATTGGAACTTATATATATTTGTAAGGGATTTGCATTAATTTGTTCCGCTGTATAAAATTTCATCATGCACTCGTTATTATGTTTCTGT